AAAAGGAGCCGTTTTCTCATTTTTCTACTTTCAATATTAAATCAAAAAATGAATGATCGAATGATACACGGATTAGTACGATTTTTTTTGTTTTGTTTTTGTTTGTTGTTGTTTAAGTAATAGTAAAAAAAATTTAATATTAGAACTATTATAATAATTATAATACATAATATTTGAATTTCAAATAAATGCTGCTCTTGTGAGCTTTCTATTTATCAAAGAATCCTGACAAAATTGATCACCATTTCCACTGAGAGCGGCACATCTAATTCATCCAAGAAGTTACCTAGTGGTCCTGGGGGTCGATAAACAACTACAAAATGGATTTTAACAGGGTAGGTAATAGTAACTGAATGAGATTCAAAGGAGCTGTTGGTACCCAAAGATGGTAAAAGATTAAATTCCAATCATTAGAGATAAGCAGGCCAGTACCTCCACCTCTTCCAGTCAAACGGGGGGAGTAGGAAAAAGATAAATTATTGGAGAGTGCTGCAGGTGTAGCAGTGTCCTCTGGTTTGATCCAGGTCTCTGTCAGGGCCATGAGATTTAGCTTTGAATGACTAATAACAGAAGTAATGAAATCGGCTTTGTTTACAGCAGACTGGCAATTCCAGAGACCAATAGAAAAAGAAAGTAGTGTTTTAGCAGACATAGTCAAAGTGTGCAGGTTGTCGCTGCCGCGACCACTGCCGCGGTATACTAACCTTTTTTATACCCGTCGGACAAAACGGAAATTGAATAAAATACGTAAAATAAAATACAACTTAACCACTGATTTGGTCCTCTTTTGGAAGGCCAAACAAAGTAGTTTCGATTTCACAAGCGTCACACACGGCGGGCTTGAGTGAGAGGCGGCTAGCGGGCTAGAGTGAGCGGAGGCCAGCGGGTTCGACGAAGGAGCGTCCGGCGGGCTTGCGGCAACCACATATGACGACCCCGGGCTGGATTCCGTTTCGTCCACGGTGAAAGCCGATCCGGCGATCCACAGCGCAAAGTTGTAGTATTT